GGCATTTCCTAGGGCCAAATAAGCACACTTACTGAAAATCTGAATTGTATTTTACGAATAGAAATGTTTAGTGAAAGCATGCCCCTCACAGAATGAATACCAGATTCACACATGGACACTCTTGCCACTTTTAGGCAGTTCAGGAACAGTGTTACATGATTCACATCATCAAATAAAACAAGTGAATGTTGAATTGCTATGCAGTGCAAGTGATCAGAGATATTTACTAAATAATTATCAGTAGTAAATTAACTTGAAATAATCAGGATTTGTTGTTGAGGCTTTCTTGAGCAGTAAAGTTTGATCAGTCATTCAAAGTATTAGCAATTCTATTAGTTTACTCTTTCTGGAAATCAAAAATAACATCCTCCTGAATCTTTCTAATCTGTTTTCATTGGAGCTTTGTAGTTTGAAGATACATCCAGGAGACTCTAAGAGATGGATTTTAAATATAGTAATGAAAAAGCAAACTTCTACAGCCAGTACATTTGTTTGTTAACACAGCTTTCCACTGCTGTCTGTCTGCTCCTTAGGTAAACAGTGATAACATGACAGCAGGCTTGTTTCATTTCACATATGCTGGAAAATCCAGTAAGTATCTACCTTCAGGTTTTTAAATCTTTCCATAGGAATTTTTATGTAGTAATCATAAAAGCAGTTGTGGAAGAGGATGTAGAGTCCATTTGCCTGTCAGATATCATTCTGAATTTCTAATTTCTTCTTTATTAAAGATTAAAGCTATACAACAAAAATGGGCCTATCTTTTTTCTATTTCCAGTTAACTTCTCAGGTCAGAAGTTAACAAGACAGGGCATTTCCTTTTTAAAATTTGTACACAGGTTTAGTGATATCCAGAAAGTAGATGACTGCTCTTTTATAATCACAAAGTGTTGAGACTCTTGAGATTATGTAGTCCAAGCCCTTGTTCAGCTAGAGCAAGTTGCCCCAGGACATGTCCCATTGGGTTTTGAATATATCTGCAGATGGAGACTCCACAACCTCTCTGGTAAACCTGTTCCAACATTAGATGATCTTCACAGTTAAAAAAATTACCATGTTGTGTTCAGGTGAGTCTGACTCTGTCCTCCTGCTCACTCCCTTCTGGTGTTGGTGCACACGTAGGAGCTTCCCCCTGAGCCATCCTTGCTCCGGGCTGAGCTGTCCCACTTCTCAGCCTCACCTCCTATGAAAGATTCTCCAGTCCTTTAATTATCTTGGTCTCTTCATGCTGGACTGGGCATGTTTTTCTCCATGTCTGATCTAAGTGTTCTGGTAGTTGAGCTGATATGTATTAGTGCAGAAAAATCTGTGGTCCTGCTCTTAGGCATTTCTGTTCTCACCTGCCATCTACATTTCTTGTACTGTTAAAACAATTAATTATTCTGTGTTTGTAGTAGTGTCTGTAAGGCACTAAATATTTATCTGGCTTCTAGATAAGAAGATCACAGAGAAAGGTTGGAAAGAAAGGCTCAGGTACAATAAGGAGGGCTTTTAATTATACACAGGTGACTCAAAATAGGCAATGTGGTACAAGTCAGTTAAAAATGTAGAGACAGAAGAGAGCAAGGGGCTTGTCACTGAGTTTAAGGAAGGCAGTCAGTGAAGAAAAAGTTGAGAGGAAAAAAGCATAGAGGCAATTGCCTTAAATACTTGCATGTAATACTCGCACGTAAAAAAAAACTTGAAGGGAGAGATGAAGTAATGGACAAGGGGAAGTCAAAATAAGACAAGAGAGAGGTGAGCAACAAATATGAGGCAACAGTAGCTGAGGAGTCAGCACAGCAATACAAGGAGGGAAATGACGCAGTCTGCCGTGAAGATTTCAGTGCCCCAGTGCTCGTGCTTGGTACTTATGTCAATAGCACAGGTGGTATCCCCTGATCTGGAGGGAGAAGAAATCATGGTGCCAGTGAGGTAAAAGCATTCCAACTCTGATAAAAGGTGGAGGAGATACGTTCTGAATTTAAAAATCTGAGACTATGGCTTAGTGGATCAAAACTCTATAAAACAAAGGAAAATCCATTCAATGCTAGACATTATGTGGGATGGAAACAGTGACACCTAAAAACTGATGCTTCTAGGCACTACATGCAAGAAAGACTGTGGAACAAAGCTTGTCATACTGAGTTTTGTGGTAGAATTCAGTGTTTGGGGGAGATTTCTGACCATAGAAAACAACACCAATTGCCCATTTGTGCCTTTGGAAATTTCACATGCTTTGAGTGATTCATGATCCTAATTTTGATCAGACCTGTTTTCCAAATCGAATGAGAACCACTCACCCAACAAGTTTACAATCGCACAAGCAAATCCTATGGACACCATTTTTCCTCTGAAAAAATAGGACTGGAACACAAATCTTGTGGCAGAGCAGCTACAGGAGCACCTGTCTTCTGCATTCCAGTTGTTAGAAAGAAGGTGGACGTTCTAAGCATAAAACGTCTCTGTTGATTCTCAACTTACAAAACATTTTATTTATTTTCCTGCTTCATCATCATCACCTGCCTGATAATGGACTGCAGCAGCATGAATGTGGTAAATCTGCTATAGGAAAGCAGTGAATGGAGAATGGTGATATTCTCAATGGAAACTGTGTACCTCCCCCAATAACGATTTTTATTTACAGTTACGAATGAACCTGAAGGAAATCCCTCCTATCACTATCAGACCATGTAAAAAGTCAATCTACCTCCTGCTTGTAAACTCCCTTCAGATGCTAGCAGGCCTCAATGAGGTCTCCCCCGAGCCTTCTCTTCTCCAGATTGAACAAGCCCAACTCCCTCAACCTATCTTCATGCTCCATCTCTCTTATAATCTTTGTGGCCAAAATACTGCCTGAAACACAGCTGTAGAATGTGGCTCCTAAAGCCAGGGCCTAAGTGTGCATCTGCTGCTACACCTTTTACAGACCTGCTTGAAGGAGCATCACAGCTCTCTTTGGCCTGACTGCCCGCTGCTGTCAGCAAGGAACTTGCTATATATAAGAGCGAGCTCAGTGCTGCTGCGCTGTACTGCTAGCAATTATCACAGGCTCCAGCCATAACAAGATCCTCAATAGATCTGTGTCTTGAGAGCTCCTATGGGCTGATGATAAGTACCAGCACAGCAACATGCAGAAGATGCTCAGCATCTCACAAGGCCCAGTGTCAGCTGACTCAGCTCTCATATGACTGGCAACTTGATTCTGACCTTAAAAACTCTTATCAAATGTTTGATGAGAAACTGTGGCTTGTGTAGTGCGGAATCATAGCTGGAGCAGGCTCAGACCTGCTGGCCTGCAGGCCCTTTGGAAGCTGGAAGGCAGAAGGGACACAAGACCTTCTGAAAGCACAATCATCCTGAGAAACGTTCCTCCTTTTGCTTCAGAGCATCTGGATGGGTTGCACATATCTGCTGCATCCTCGAGGTAACCAGGTTCCCCTTTTTGAAGGGTGGTTGCAAAGTTCCCCCTGCCTTTATCTTCTGGTCTCACTGGGGCAGAGCTCTGCATTTCCTGGGGAAAGACACTGCCTGCTTAGCCTATGGTGGCACCTTTTTGTGGATTCTTTCTTTCTTTCTTTTGTTTTTTCTTTTTCTTTTTCTTTCTCTCTCTCTCTCTCTCTCTCTCTCTTTCTTTCTTTCTTTCTTTCTTTCTTTCTTTGTTTCTTTCTTTCTTTCTCTCTTTCTCTCTTTCTTTCTCTCTTTCTCTCTTTCTCAGGTTTGTGATTCTGCAAGTAAAATGCTGCTCTTTCCCACTGCTGAAACATGTAGAGGTGTTCTAGAATAACAGATAATTGGATCTGGGTTTCAATCCTATCAGATCCATAAGGTCTATGCATAAGTTGTGATATGAGGAGGGTTGAGCACTTCTGCAAAGTGAGAAAAAATGATGGCTTACAAGCTTGCAAAGCAATAGAGTGTACCTGGTTCATTTGGAGTGTGCCCAGACATTACCTGAAAAGTGAAGGACACATCTGCAGGGCTTCCCAGAGGGAAGGGTCCTTGAAAGAACTCCCCAGATGCAGCCTTGTCATTCCTGCTTTGCCTTGGGGACCACATTTAACCATTCAGTGTAGAATTTGAGTAATAGGTGACTTCTGTTCTGCAGAGCTCAGAGGGCAGGCCCTGGGCTTTCACATGCTTACATGCTCACTTAACTGTGCATCTCTGGATGATCCCCCTTGAAGTCAGAGAGGTGACTCACACGTAAAGTTATCTCCATGCCTAATTTTTTTTGCACTGTGAAAGCGCAGATGAAGATAGGATGCGAGAAAGGAAGTGCCATTATCCTCATCTGCAAGATGAGGAACTGAATGAAGCACAGCAAAAATGAGATCCCACTCCACCACCACAGTGCGTAGACGCGCTTCATCGCTGCGCGTGTGAGTAATCCCCTCCGGGTCCGCCGTGTTCTCTGGACCGAAGCGGGAGCTCTGGATTTCAGCCGCCGCCGTTTTTAAGTAAGTTGCTCAAGTTCCGACCCCGAGCCGCTAGACGCGGGTGCGCCGGGCCATCTCTGCCCCCTGACCTCCTCTCACGGACCCCCCCGCCGCCTCCGTCCATGAGCAGCGCGGCGGGCACGTACCGGCACCGGCACCGGCACCTGCGGGCGGGCGGGCGGGAACGGACCGGGGGCAGCGCCGGCAGCGGGAGCGCCGCTCGCCCGGAGCTGCAGGTAGCGGGGAGCGGGTGGGTGCCCGTGAGGGGCCGGGGAGAAGTTGCCGGGAGCCCGCCGTGCTTCCTCCCCGTGCGCTCCCGTCCTCCCCCGCTTTTTGTTTAAAAACGCCGCGCGCTGGGCTGGGAGAGATGGAGGCTGCTTTGAATGTCGGAAAAGCGAGGAGCTGGCCGAGGTGGGCATAGGCTCGCAGGGCAGGGGGCGGCTGGAGCGCTGTCCTCGCTGCGCTCCCTCTCGGCGGCTCCTCAGCCCCAGCCCTGCCCCAGTCCCAGCGCTCGCTGCTGGCAGCGGTAGCTGCGAGAGGAGGCGGCACGGGGCTGGCAGCCGCTGTAACCGTTCGGGTCGGGGTTGAGGAAACGGTGTCACTGATAGCTGGCTACCGCCCAGAGAGCCGGGCGGCCAGAAGTTCCCTTCCTTGTCTTGGCGCACAGACTGTCACAGCCGGAGGTTTCCCTTCCCGCTGCTCCGCAAAGTTACCCCTTCTGCGAAGGGGCTGTTTCACTCCGTAGGCAGTATTAAGGAAGATGTGTATAGTGAGGAACCCCGCGTGTGAAGGAGCGACTTCCCACTGCAGCGCTGGGTGCTAAGGAAACTTTTAATTTTGTGCTTCAAGAAACCCGATTGCTTCTTGGATTACTTTCCTACCTTGGTCTGGAAGGTATGGTAATGCTGCCAGGTGTGCTGCGGAGTGTTCTGCTAACAAAACTTCTAGAAGATGGGATGGTGGTAATATGGTGTCAGTGAGCATTTGGAGCTTAGGCTTGAAATTACCCTAAAAAATTGACGTTTTGTGGAATGCAAGAATTCTTAGACTAGTATGTCCACTGGCTTGTACTGAGTGAATGGCTGTAAAGGAAAATAATGCTGGCTCTTTTTTCTTTTCTTTTCTTTTCTTTTCTTTTCTTTTCTTTTCTTTTCTTTTCTTTTCTTTTCTTTCTTCTCTTCTCTTCTCTTCTCTTCTCTTCTCTTCTCTTCTCTTCTCTTCTCT